CCGCGCCGCCTCCCCCGCGCCGCGCCGCCCTGCCCCGCCTCCGCCCCCCCGCACCCTGGCGCGAGCGCCTCGGGCTTATCGGTCTGGGGGCCCCTCGGGCCCGATCGGGGTGACAGCGACGGTCGCTGGCCCGGAAGGAGCTTGGCCTGCTCCGAGGAGGGAAAGAGTAATGACAAAGACAGCCCTGCGCTTTCCCATTCAGCCCAGCTCTTGGAGGCGCGCCGAGCCTGAAAGAGACGAAGGGGGGAAGGGCGCGTGTGCGCGCGCGCGCGTTTGTGTGCTTGCGCGCGTGTGCGCTTGTGCGTGTGTGTGCTTAGAGGGCATGGCGGTGTCGGAACGCAGGCAGACTCACCTTCCATAGATTTCTTAAGAACGGATTCTACAAGAAGCAAGGGAAGAAGGCACAGGCCAAGGCTTTAATCCCACCTCACCCCGTGAGGCATTCGTAGTTTGAGCGGCAGGTGCTCCTTTTTGTGGGTCCAGGTTGTGGCCGAGGTGTGTCTTGGGCCGCCCAGAACACGGTGCGCACGTCGGCGCGTGGGGCGCTGTATTCCTGGCGCCTGATTGCGCTTTCGCTCTGTGTGCACGCAGCTGTGCCGATGAATCACAGACCGCTGCGGCCGAGACACCTGTTCCCAGGGTCACCAGGCTTGCGAGTGCGAGGCTCCAGTTTCCATGCCTGGACTCCTCCGTGCACTTCCGCACGCGGCTCCATCCGTTCCATTCTTTCTGTGAGCCCCGATTATCAGCTGTCTGCTGGGGATTTCCTACAGCCAACACGCAAACGTTGACAGGCGAGTTACTCCGGCACCCTAAAAACTCCCAGTCCTTTGGGAGAGACACTACCTACAGCAGTCACCAGACCATATGAGATGGGAAAGTGTCACCGGGGAGCACGGGACAAAGTGTCAAGAATAGCGCAGTGGTCAGGGGGCGGCTTCATGAGTAATGGTGGTTTACGAGGCTTGGGATCAGTTGACCTTTGAGGACCTTGAAAGACTGGTAGGATCTGGGAATGACCAACCGGTGGGACCTGTCAGCCAGAGGGGGAAATCGCAGAAATTGGAATGTTTGAAATTAACGTGTGTGGTTAGATTTTGTGGTCTAAGTGGAAGTGGTTAGGGGGAGCTGTGGAAGACCAAGGATGAAGAATTTGAATGTGATTTTGTACCCAGTGAAGACGGCAGCCGTATTTTAGTGCCTTCCCCTCCTTTACCACGCTAAGAACAAAATTTAAAGAAAGTGTTTCCTACATCTGTGGCATCAGTTTCATCTGGGAAATTGTTTGCCATGCAAGTTCTGGTTTTTCACCGCACATCTCCTAAATCAGAAACTCGCAGCAGCCTGTCCTTTGAGCCGCTCTCCTGTGGGGTCTGCTGCTCTTCCCTAAAAACTTGCTGCTAATGCTCGCATTGGCAGTGCACAGAATAAGAGCTTGTTGCTCCTTGTGTACGCCTTGGGCCAGCAGCACCGGCGTCACTCAGGGGCCTGCTCGAAGGACAAGGTCTGCAAACTCTCAGTCCTTTTGACTGACACAGGAGCCACATCTAAGGAAGACTGCCAGGTGACGCATATACCTACTGAAGCATAAGGCACTGCCGGGCTCTAGGAGTTTCAGACACACACAGAAAAGAATAAAGAAGAGGGCCGGCCAAATAGCTCAGCGGACTAAAGCACCTGCTTAGGCAGACACAGTGAGTTCAATCCCAGTGAGTTCCATCCCAGGGCTACCGGGCCTCGCTGAGGCAGCGATTGAGACTGGGCCTGGTGGCCTGCGCCTGTAATCCTGGGAGGCTGTAAATAGGGGGATCACTATGTACCTGGTGAGACCCTGTACACCCTGTACACCCTGTCCTAAAAAAAAAAGAATAAAGAAGAAACCCCCAGCCCTATACCACCACCGTGCTACATCCTTTATTACTTTTTAAAATAATCTTATTTATTTGGTATCGAGTCTTACTATGCAGCTCAGACTTATAGGAATCCTCCTGACTCAGCCTCCCCAGCGCTGGGATTATAGGCATGCGCTACCAGGCAGGCTGTACTGAGGATCTAGCCACAGTCCTTGTATTTGTCAGGCAGGCTTTTAGACCGCTGAGCTATCTCCTCAGCCCATTTATTACTTTTAAATGTAATTCTTACCAATTGTGTTCTATGCATCTATATTTGTAGAAAGTACCCATTTAACCATTGTTTCCTTTCTTCAACTTTGTATTACATATTCTTAAATATTCTTTTAAAGCCTCTTTTTAAAAATTTTTTCCTTATTTATTTATTTTCCAGTGCTGGGGGTTGAATGTAGGGCCTCATGCTAGGCTAGGCAAGCACCCTGAGCTACAACCCCATCCCCTGCAACTTGATCCTTAGTGGCTGTCTGATACTCAATTTTATGTCTGTACCATAGGATATGTTACTAAGTGTTTTGTACAGACAGATTTCATTGTCATGGATAACGGTGAGATAACAAGTAATAGATGCAGTATATGTCAGGTTGACTTTGTGCCAAGCACTGGGTGAAACACTTCACATACAAGAGCTGATTTAACTAGCAAAGTAGTGAGCTCAGTGTCATTATTATTGTTCTCATTTTAAACACCAAATCACAGAGATTTGTCTAAGATCACACCACTAGTAAGCAACAGATCTGGATTTTAAACCCAAGCAATCCGGCCCCAGAATCTATGGGGAAGCTCTCTTCATAGATAAATTTTTATCCTCATTTATTTTTCCTTGTAAGAAATGATGAAGAAGAAAGGTAGGAAGGAAGGAAGGAAGAAGGAAGGAAGAAAGAAAGAAAGAAAGAAAGAAAGAAAGAAAGAAAGAAAGAAAGAAAGAAAGGATGTCCTCTTCTCCCCACCCCCCCCCGGCAGTTCTGGATGTCTAACCAAGAGGCTCACACATGCTAGCAAATGCTCCACTGCTGAGCTACACTCCCGGCTAAGTTATGTGACTTTTGGAGGCATCTTGAGTGTTAGGCAAGCAGCTGTCGTAGTGCCACAGATGCACCCCAAGAAGGCCTTGAAGCATACTGCTTTTTAGAAAGATAGCTAACTTGTGCCCCTACCAATAACATCCAGGTTCAAAGTATCTTTACCAACAACATGGCAAATCTTTGCAAAATGTGTTCTAATTTTGTGAGTAAAAATTAACGGGATATCTGTAATTAAAAAGGGGAACATTTTTTCATGTGTGGAGTTGCCATTTGTAGAGCACTGAGGGCTAGTTGGACACAAGCTTAATGTATAAAATTCTTATGTTTGTTTATTTATTTAGTACCAGGGATCAACTTGGGACCTTACACTTGCCAGGCAGGCGCTGCTGCTGCTGAGCTCTCTCTCCAGCCCTACTCCTCGTGTTTTCTAGTTCCTTATTTTTATAAACGCTTTCATGTCCTCAATCCCATCTGATCCTGATAGGAGCACACAGAGTAAAAGGTTGCTCCTCCGTCAGTCTAGTGTTTCCTCACAAGTGAGACCGCCCACTGTCTGTGGTTAGGAGACTTTGACTTGGGCCAGTGTGGCCTGGAATTCTACCTTTGCTATGTCCCAGGCAAGTTATCCAACTTTGAACAGCTTCACATTCCCGCACTTACACATGGGGGAGGCTAATGACTCCACAGAGTTGTTGGAAGGACAGCGTAAGTGTCTGACAGATGGGGACATTATTACTCATTCAGTGCTGCTGTCATTGGAATCCATAATCATGTTGTGGCAGAATCCAGTTAATCCATAAATATTTACCAGCCCCTGGCCCTTGGACCTTCAAGCGGTGTATGGCGTTGAACAGAGAGGGGAAAATGAGGGCTGGAAGGCCTGAGTTTTCATGGCTGTGTGTAAAGCCGGGTCCTGTCAGAAGTGTCACATGCCCTGGGTTACCATGATACATTGGTCATTGTCTAAAAAGGAAGAAGTGCTGACAAGCCGTGATTTTTTTGTTGTTGCTTTTCTTGGCTTAGAGGCACAGCATCTCCAGAGACGCTGGCTTTTAGGGTCAGCTGCAAAGGACATTAGCAAGCTGTGTGGCACCACCATGTCTCTGAGGCAGAAGCCAGACAGCAAAGGAGCTTAGTGCCAGTTCAGACAAAGGACAGCAGAAGTGAGGACGGGAGGAAGAATTATGGGCGGGGGGTGGAGTGAGGAGAATTACTATGCCCATCTGTCTCGCTTGGCAGAGCTGTGTGTGTATGTCTGAAATTGTTTTATTTGCTTGTTTTTGGTGCACTTCTGTCTCTGTCTAAGCTATGCGCTAACGTGGTTTAGTTTCTGTGAAATACCCTCTCACCTCAAATGCGATCAAATAAGTGTCAGGGAGAATGTCTCAAACCTTTCATTAACTATTGACCATGTGCGCAGCACTATTTTAGGAACTGAGCAAAGATTCATATGAAAGGGAATCCAAACCTGGGTTTAGGGGTCTGAAACTCAGTGCTTCTCAGACTGACGTAGGTGTGGACTGCTCGGAGGGCTAGAGATGCAGTTCTCTAAGTTGGCCGGTGTAGGGTGGGGCCTCCAATTCCGCATTTCTAACACCCTACCAGGTAATCCTGTGGCTGCAGGCCATGGCCCCTCTTTGGAGCACCAGGTTCTAGTGGAAGGGAAAGCTCGGGATCTTTTTCTCTCTTCTGTCTGCTTTTCACACAGTGGAGTTGTTGCTAGATTGGTTCAATTCCAGGAAATGAAATGATCCACATTTAGTGACTGCAGGAAAAAGTAAATGGAGTCACTGTCTCCTCTGGGGTCCGCCCCTCTTGTTTTCACTGTTATGTAGCCAAGCAGACCCGTTATTGTTTCGTACCTGATGTGCCAGGCTCGAAGGTGAGATGGCGGAAGTGTGTCTTGGAGAACAGGGCCCTGGAGGTCCTTGGTGTGGGTGGCTTGCTGTAGAAGGATAGCCCTGCCCTGAGGAATTAGGTATTTATTTAGATGGCTACAAAGTAGTATTTTGATTTCTCATCACTAGTGGCCTTAAAATGTGCCACTTGCTCCCTGAGATAGTTGGATGTGGTGCCCACTTGTGTAAGATCTGCCCGGTAGATTGGTTAGCACAGTTCCGGGTGCGGCTCCATGACTGCCTTCGTGAGCAGGGAAGACCCTGACTGTGGGTGGTACCCGTCAACAAACTTGTAGCTTGGATGGAATAAAAAGAG